CTTACGACTAACCACGAGAAAGATTTTCTGAGCAATTGCACCTCTTTCACCTGGCGTTCAAAGGATCGCAAGGAAAAATCCGTTGCAATGTTGGTACATTTCAAGGTAGACGGAGCAAAGCCAGCAATCGGGGTGATATTATTTCATCGGTCGTAAATAGCGAAGGGTGGTCAGACCGAAAGTTAGCATAGGCGTTGACTTAGTGCTCCTCTGGGTGCCGTCTGTCAACCCAGCTCGTAAAGCCTTTCTTATTTCGCGATATTTTGTCCTCGCCACCACGATATTTATCGTCCACGCAGGACCCACGACCCGACTACTTCTTCTGCGTCGCGGAATAATCTTTGCGCCCCCTTTTCTCTCGAAGGGAGTAATCGACCTGCCGCAAATTTTTCATTTTCCTTTCGAACCACCTATCGACCCACTATCGTTGCTTTTCCTTAATTTATGGCCAATTTTTCTTCTCGTACGAAATTTTCGTGATCGCGAAATTGTGTAGAAAAGAAAAAAAAGGTTTTATCGTTCGAGATTTCACAAGGCCCATAGGATTATTTATTCTTGTGGTTTTTGGCAAACGTCCGTTCTGCAACGAAATACGCGTCTCTTCCGCAGCCGTTTGGCCACTTAATTCCGCTACATTTGAACGCGACCCGAGAAAACGGCCAGATATATCACGCAAATTGCCATTGTGGCCGCGACAATATTAGCATTTCATTATTCCGCCACACATAAAACGCACGAGGATGAGGAACGACCCCGTGGATCGTGTGCCTTCTATTTTATTCCGCTGCGTTTACCCGACATAGACACGCGTTCACCAAGATTTCTAATCGAGGGGTGCGGAACATCGGTTATAGATTCTTTGGTTAGATTAAAAGCGTACAATGTATCTAATATTGGAGACTGGAGCTTAGCTGCCAGCGGCATCATCTCTGCCGACGACGCGACGAGAGCGGGAAAAAGCAAATTTAATAGAGCGAGTTTTCGTCTATCGTGTCTATCCATCGGCAATTTCCGATTGAGTCGCCATCCCCGAGGAATCGATCGTCATTTTCTCCAGTCTCGTCGCGTTTCACTCTGCTTTTCATCCTGACGGCCACACCTTGTGCCGTGCCACGATCGAAAATGAAGCATAATAGCGTAATGGTCGATGGATGGCAGCCCCTTCGAGACAAGAATCGTTCGCAAAACGCTGCTGTTACACGCGACACGTGACACTTTAATCCATTTCAACCGATTTCAACCCATCATCTTCCATTGAGAATACCTTTTCTTTTTATCGTATTATACTACGCGCACAATGCAGAGAGATTAACGTTTACTTCACTCGATGATTATACATGATGAATCGCAGCACGGAAGTAATAAATTGATGATGCGACAAGATATGATAATGGGATAATTTTTGTATGGTCAGCAAGCGTTTAGCGAGCCATCGCAATTCGATTTTCATCGATGAAAATGGTGTAATGCGGTAATCCATGCGGATCGTCGAATGTAACCATGGCTTAGATGGCAGGGAATCGGATCAGCGCAGTGGCAGTTTAGCCCGCGAGGAAAAGGGTAGGTGGGAGGATCGTATAGGGCGCGAAAGGGAAACGAATGGATTCGATCAGCGAAACACAGCGGGCCAGCTTAAATCCTCGAACTCATTAATGGGCTTCAGAGTCGAGGCACGAACGTTAGCCAGGCTTTATACTTGAGCTTTAATTCGCGCTCTGGTCAAATTAATTTGCAACGATGAACGAGATAGTTGCTGCTGCACTCTCGTCGGCTGTGTTAGCAACCGGCCAGATTAGCCGCCGTTCATTAAACACGAACCTACACTATACATACATAGATATACATATAGGTACGGTCGGATTTGGCATCGGTGCAAACCTGCATACCGCATCCACGTGATCGTCGTCCTCCGAACACTACTTTCTCCTTCTATCCTGATCTCTGATCTGTCTGTTTCTCTTTGAATCGTGGCCGGTGTTGAAATCAACGAGCAGATCGGCAGCAATTCAACGAACGTTATGTCGAATTTTAGGTAGATCGAGCACGAGGCGCCGCGCCGCGCCGCGCCGCCCCGCCGGAAAATACCGTGTTTGTCGGCTAACGTTGTTATTCAAGTCGGCAAAAGGATTTTATTAAAAAGAGTGCTGGAAGCTGGCTTGGGAAATTGGCTCGTATACCTATAGCAGATACCTGTGCGCGCCGAGTGGCCATCGAGTTTTCGGTTTCGAAATTTAGCTTACGTAGCGTCGAGTAGGTTACTGCTACGTTTCAAGTGCGAAACCTTTCGATACTACCTCTTTTTTATCTTTCGAGCGGAGAAAGCAGGAAATTGCCACGCGATTTCTTCCTAGACGAATTGTTCCACAGAGTTTGCCTTAACTCGATCCACGTTTCGTAGTACAATACCGTTTACCTCGTTAACAAATTACAAACAAAATTCATCCTTCCCATTGATATATTTAACAATACGCTCGCATATCGTGGAGAACTGTGCCACCACACGGATTATAATGATGATGATCATCATTGCTGCCACAATCGTCGGCACTATTGATTGGAAATATACGTTTGCGTGGTTCGTGTAATCCATATCCGCGCAATTAATTATCGTTCTCTGATATGTTGTAATATCCATTGTTGGCTGGCCAAACGCATGCTTGTTGCTCGTTCGGATTACATGCCGGCAACTGTGCACCAGGCATGTTTCATTTCGTTGTCGAGATATTACGATGTGAAATTTAGACGCTTCTACTCTTTATTCGATCGTACATGATGAAAGTCGTTGGGATCGATTTTGCGAACATCGCAATGAATAGTAAATCTATCAAAATTTCAACGAAACATTATTGGCTGTAAGTGATTTTGTTGGTAAACGCATTCTTCCGTGGTGTTTCAAAGAAATTTCAATGTGTACGCGTCCAATTAAGAAGACGCAAGGTGCGAAGATTGTTCGCTTTTCAGCCACGTGGCGTTACACGCAGCTTTCATTGTGTCGCGGGACTGAAAAAACGGTGGAACGGGCGTCGAAATTAGCGGTTGAACATCTTTTTTGTTCGGACACATTAACTGCAGCCGCCAGTTTCGAAACAGCCCTCTCAGCGATCGATTCCGCCTGTCGTTGATCATGATCGATCGACACCCTCGACTCAACGAGGCTCGAAAACTCTATTCTCCTAACGAGTTAGAAAATGGAAATATCAAACGAAAGAATTTCAACAAGACTGGTTGCAAAATTTTTTAGAAGCTCATTAAAGTGCAAAGCAGGTATAAAGCAGAGGGTTAAAGCTCTGCCTTAAGGTTCATTCGACCGACATCTGAAAAAGCGAGTTTCAAAGCTTAAAATCGCTCAGCTCCGTCTATCAATTCTATTTTTCTTTCCTCGTTACATCCTTCTCTAACGATCATTCGATCGAACGGTAACACGAGCGCAGAAACGCGAACGTGTTTCATTAGTTCGCGAAACGAGTCGATTAATCAGCTGCTTCGAGTATGGCTCGACTTTTATTTTTATTTTAAACAGTAAATTGATGAACTCGTCTTTGCCAGTCTAATCGGAAGATATACAACTGCGAAAAATATACAGAAGCTACTCGTGGCGTCCTTAAACGGGGAGTATTAAGCGAAGAAACAAGATGATAAAACGGCAGAGCGCGGCGGAGAGCCAGCAATAAATGTTTCGTGGCTCGTAAAAACGTTATTGCCTTCCGTACACACCGATAGCTGAAGACAGTGCAGCAGAACCCTGAAGAATATGCAAAGAAACCAGGGACAAATGTGTCCTCGCGGTAGAAAAAGCACCCCTATGCGCTGAAACTGTAGTTTGCAACGAGAAGTTGAAGTGAAATTGTTCAGACCCTAGTTACCATTTTGATCAGAAAACAGAGCGAATTAACTGGAGGGGTTGAATGTAAAAAGCGTGACAGGAATTTTGTTTTATGCGAACGCAGTCTCCCTTCCGCCTTAGCAAGCAACCGCTAATATCGCCATATAATCTGTCGCCGTTCCGAATAAATAACCCGCTGCGAAGCTAATAAAACTCGTCGACTGCGAACATTTTGTCGAGCGTCACGTGTTACCAGCTTCCGTTTACCCACGACAGAAGATTTCCCGCGAACGTGGTTCCATAGTGGCACTGGGATGCTGTCTCTATAAAGACACATGGCCGATGAAGGTGGTTCGCACGTCGCTTCATTTGTCTTTATATTAGCGGCACACGCCGCTATAACGCTATAACACCAACCAGTTTCACCCTTGTTACTCCTCCACCACGACACATCGAGACGCAATAGCGTTTTCTCAGGTGTTGATGCTCTGGAAGGGATGGTGCTATATCGAAAAACTTGGATCCTTCGTTAAAGGGGCGAGTTTTATTTTATCGAGCGGGACAAAATATCTCGGACAGTTTGGTGCGGATTAAAGGATCGATGCCGCAGGCGAGTAAAGGAAAGAAAGAAAAAGGGGGTGTGGTATTTTGAGTGACCGTTTGGCATAACGCCACCCCTGAGGGAGCTCGCAAAGGAGACGAAGCTCGTCGGATTTTAAGGAACCGTGAATATTTTCCGCCCTTCGGCACGAAATTAACCCCTTGGGAGCCACCATCCAATCCTGTGCCCCCGGCTGAAAGGAGGCAACCGCTTGGATCGGGTATTACTTTATGTTCGCGGCAGAAAAGTTTATTTTCCTTCGTGGCAGAGTTAGCTGCAGCCAACGCTTGGCCAGCCGTTGCTTCGTTGCTTCGTTGCTTCGTTGCAACCGAAACAAGAGCGGAGAAAGAAAAAAAGGAAATGAAGAAGAAACCTACCGATTCCTCCTCTTTCATCTTCCGTAAAAGTTTTCCAGTAACCGACACGGATCTGCACTAAGGCAAACTTCCGATCCTTATTAAATGGACGCCCTTTTACCGTCTAACATCATCTTCATCGTGCTCACTTTTTTTTTAATAAATACATGTAACCCTTGCTTATGTACTTACGATAATTGTGGTTTTGGTTTGATTGCAGTCCATACGATGCACTGTCAACGGATGTTCCTGCGACTCGTTCACCCCTGGAAAGCGGCACATCCGGTACTGCGACAGGTGTCATCACGGCTGGGTACTCCATGGTGAGTACCTGAAATTTTCATTATTATTATCCTACTATTTTGAATCCCTTATCAAAGGGACGAAGGCGGCTGATAAAATCGAATAGAGGGTAAAGTAGCCTCGATTTAAGAATCCATGTCGAAGATTTTTACCGTGCACACGGTTAAACGCAAATTTTCCAACTGTCAGCATACTTCATCCGACCGGCCCTCAGGGACGAAATTCAATTTTCCGAGGATGACCAGTGCCGTACCTTCGCTCCACCCTTCTCTGTGGCCGCGCACGCGATCCGCTTGCTGGGCACACGCGCGTCTATGCATACGTATCGGCCATATATACGTGGGCACTTTATGTCCTCGTAAGTTTTCGAATGTATGGAAGAACCGACCTCGTAGCTGCAACGATCTCAAGAAATATACAGGGTGTAGTATTTTTTTAAGTAATCGTTAGTGGAAACGATAGGTCGTCGCGTTTCAAATAACGACTATAGTTTGCGCTAATAGGAAAGGGATTAAATGAGAACTCTGCTTAAATTCTTGTAACTAACTTTTATTTCGTTCAACTTAAATTTCACCAAGACACCCCTTATATTACTCGTACAGAATACCCTTCTATCGATGTCTGGAGGGAGATGTCGATGTACGATGGTGTGTATCGTGCTTAAAATTCCGACTGCTTGACCCGCGATAGATTGGACCTGGTACGGCGTGGAATACATATCAATTTCGGGCTTCGACTACGTCCCATGGGAACGCAGTTGCATTTTCCTCTAGATATCTTCTTCTTCTTTTTGTTCTTTTTATGACGTAAGATAGATGGACGATTCTTCTGTGTCGCGTTGAAAAAAATAAAAGAAAATTCTAAACGATTTTTGACGTTAGAACAGTCTGTATATGAGTACTTACATCTGTCTACGATAGAGCAACCCAACAAAGTTGACCCAATTTACAAGACTTGAAACGTAAACACGAGGCTGTTTTAGTTCGTCATTCGCGGACCACACACGTTCCACTTACGATTCAAATGAAAACCATTCGTTTTTAATTCATTCTACTTCGATAATTAAAGGACTATAGTATTCCAAGAACAGCGAAATCGTTGAAATAGGTATCGAAAATGGAGAAGATTGGTCGTTCGAATCGTTCCGTGACCCGATTTCGAAGCAATCCGGCATTTTAGTAAGACGACTCTGCCTGTCGACACGAATCGAGCCGGGCCATTCATCAAAATCGCCCGTACAAAAGACGATCCCTGTAATTGCTGGAAATCGGTCTCGGAAACGGTCTCGGAAACGGTCTCGAAAATGGCAACGGCAACGGAATCGTTTCTCTTTCGCTATGGTAGGACTGGAATTAGAAATCCCCGAACAGTCGACTCGTCGTCGTTGCTCCCTTTTGTTCTTGACACGGACCGGTTCAGTTTGCCCTGGCAAAAAATCGTCGAAGGCCCGTTCTCTTGCTGCTTCACAGATCAGACACGACGATTTGTCGTTCGCCACGAAACAGCCGAGTCACAGCCGAGTCCGAGGTGAGCCTAAGAGGCTCGTTGCTTTGTTGCACCTTGAGCGGTATGTACCGTGACAAATAGATCTCGCGATTTAATCTTCGTCCACCTCGCTTGAAATCGTGATTATCCCTTGGGCGACGTTCTTAATAAAATTATCGTCTCTAGAGAAGTTGCATTCGAGATGGTTTTCTCGTGACTAAAAGATTTCAAGGGCCTTTGAATTTTTCAAGTTCCGATTAACGGTACCGGGATAATCGTTCTAATCGGCATCGTGACAGTATCCGTCTGAAAAGTTGAGAAAGTTTTGTTAGAGAAGTCACTGACGTAAGAGAATGTTTACGTCGAAGCGCACAATTGCTCTCTGTTCGTCGCGGTAAAGAGTACCTACAGTGTTCGTGATCTCCAAGAAAGTGATCTATACCGTGGAAGAATCTTTTAACCTTGCACGTGAAAGACGCGTTGAAAAGGGTAAAATTCATCGAGAACATGGTAGGGTACGTGCATCTAATAAATAGTAGTTGGAGCAGAGGATTAAACCGCGACGGGAGAAATTCTTTCTGCTCTCGTGTAACCTTAGACCGGATACGCATGCTTGAAATTCCTAGTAATATAGAGAGCGAGCAATTCAGCCTAGCCAACCAGGGGAAAATTTGCCCAAGTTCTCTTCCAATACTTTACGTGCCTGGTAAACCGGTCATCTACGTCCTCTATCCACGCCAATTAAACGTTTTTTATCGTACCTTAACCTATTCCTTCGCGATGCATCGCGTGCACTCGGGATGGCCCTCGTCTAGCCAAGCTACAGATTACGCTTCCATCATAATCACCACCGTTCTTTCCTATTGAAATACCTTTTTTGTTTTTCATTTACGGTGAAATGCGGTCGATGCGCGCATTTTTCCATCGTTTCACGAACACCTCCTTCCGAGGGAAAGGCTTGCATCGCTGCGCTGTCTCGAAGGTGACAGACGAGAGCAAGTGGCGAGCTCGTAAAGAAATCACGGTGCAGAGCAGCACTGACAAAAGCCTTTTTAAATTGTAATGAGCTGCCAAAGAGTGAATTATGTGCCGTCCAAGTGCCATCGAGTCCTCCTCGACGAACCCCATCCTATAAAAGTCTCTCTATGTATGTGTATATCTGGCATCCTCGTGCCGCTCAGCCACCCCACGTCATGAATATATTTACATTGATCGTCCGTCTCGGCATTTTTCATTTGACCCGTCGCGTCGCGTCGCGTCGTTCTGTCAGATTCTCTTTCTCTCTTTCTCTCTTTTTACCCTCGATATGTATACTTTATTTATATCGACGGGACGTGTCTGTCTTTCCGAGGAGATCGCTTCAATACAGTTTTCATCGTGAAACCCGTCGATCGCTAATGATCCTTTCGTCCTTCGACCATATCCTTCCCGGAAGTCCCTCGAGTTTTCGCGCAGTATCGCGATAGAAAACGCCTGTCTTGGCGTGCTTCCAGTTCTTTCGGCTATGCCTTCAAGTTTTACGAGCGACGAAAATTTCCATTTCACCGCCTTTGCTGCATCCATTCGTGCTTTAATTTAGGAAACACCGTGTAAACTAGCGTAGTTCGAAGGAAGGTAGAAAGGCGTGAGCAAAATGGAAGAGATTTATAAGGTCGTGAGCCGCGGATCATAGCCGGTTAGGTGGAGATGGCAACGCGATTCGGGCCACCCATCCGCTCGATCGCGCCGCGATAAACGCATTATTTAATTACCGTGAGTAATTACCGATTATTACACGGCGCTGCTTCTACCTGCACACAGTCCGCCATTAATTATTATACGAACGATCGGACGAAACACTCGTTACGCAGCAGTCTTTAATCGACGTGGACCCGGTGCGGTGGCCCGTCGCGGACTGATCACCACTACTTGTCTGCTTGTTCTTCTTCGCTCCCTTTTTCTTTTTGCCAGTTCTTCAGTGACAGGAACGTTGTTACTTTTCTTCTTGTTCTTGAACAATCACGTTCTATAATCTGCTTATCAACAAATGGCAAGTGTTGGAAAATTGGAGAGGCTTGGATTAATCGAGATTCTTAAGATTTTATTGTAGTAGAGACTGACTGAATCAAGGGAGTAGATATTGTGAATGAAATTGTAGACAGTGTAATTTGTAAGAATCGATAAAATATTGTCGCAGCCGAACCCACGGAACGAACAGCAATTCTCCGGATTAGGATTAAATATTGATAGTCAAGTTGATACAGATTAATGTGCATTCGCTGGCAGCTCAATCTCCTCGTGCGACCCGACAGCGATTTGTCTCTCGTGCTCGCCAAAAGGAGGGACACAACCGCGAATATCGTCTAAAGGAGAAAGAGGGATGCTTTGATTACCACCTTGGACGTTCCACGGATCGTCTCATCCTCTTATCTGCACCATTTCTCTATTTATCTCTCGATTCGCGTTGTCTTCTGGTGCCTTCGATCTCCCTCCCTCGTTGTACGAGCTGTTATGATGAACAATGTCGCTAGGGAGGGCATTTATTCCGAGATGCACCCTCCTAGGGGAATCTATTAGCACGTCGGGATACGGACGGCAGCTTATTTACTTTAGCGATAACGTCGATTCGCTGGGAAGCGGAAATACGTAGGAGTAAGAGAAATATTTCGACTCCAGTCCAGTTCTACCCTTTCACTGATACTGACTATACGTAATAAAAAGGAGATTACACACGTAGTCGTAGTCGCAACATTCGTAACCAACTGGAAATTTAGAATCGGATGATCTTAGGTCGTTCGTGGATAACAGCAGACTCAAGAATTCATTGGTTGGTAAACAGGGTCATTTTTTAGCGAAATCATCGGTCACGGTCGACAATCGTGCACGTTGATCGTGCTCGATGGCTGACAGTTCCAACCGGCTAATATATCTGCGCGATAAATCTTGCTTTCGCGAATCTATCGAGATTCGTTTGCTCGCAATAATTTTATTCGCGACACGATAAACTATGTCCAGTAATTTTCGATCGAGATTCTTCTCGAGCATCAAGTTTTTACAGTTGCAACAGCAATTCTTAACAGTGTCCACCTAAAGAGGCTGTTCGAAACTTTGCAATCAGTTTCATTGTAATCTGGTGGTCAGCTTGATTGCTAAAAAATGGTTGAAATAAGAAAACTGGTTGATTTAACATTTTTCATTCGTTCGAAGATGGAGCATCGATTCGATTCGATTAAAATCAGGAAGATTTGACAAGGCGCAACAAGCTTTCTCCACATGGAACGCGTTCGAAAGGCTTTCGCGGCTGACGGTTTACGGAAGGCGTCGCGGCGCGATGCGTCGCGAGGCTGGGAGAGGGTGGGCACGGTTCGACGCGCGTGTCGTCGCTCGAAGCCGGCAGTGAAAATGGTTTGTGCCAGAAAGTCTCGGATAAGTTAAACACGGCTCGTAGTCCGGAGGCGTCGTAAAGCGCCGCGGCGCCTTGGTGTTTACGCGGAGACGTCGAGGCCCACCAACCGCGTCATCCCTTTCCATCGACACCGTGTTGTTTGTCTCTCTC